AGTAAGAATAGCCACTACCCCACATCGTCCCGAGGGTGTTATAAGAGGCAACAGAGGGACAACGAAACATGAGATGGGCAGCAGCATCTTGCTGATAACCACTTAACTTGTGAACCTAGAAAGCTTTTACAGATTCTTTGTTCACATAACTAAATATACACTTCACTAAGATACGACATGATGCCTAAGCTTATGAAAAGAAATATATACTAGCCCTGATTTTTTGAACCACTGTTTCGTTCATGTTTATGATTTTTTCACATTGTTGTTCTTCAACAAAAATGTATATTTTAAAACTAACTCGCAGAGCACAGGGTGTCAATTTGCATTTTGAGTAACTTTATCGATATCGATATATATGATAGCAGTGTCGTGCCCCTCCCTAATGGTACATGTGTGCGCATAATGAGCGGTGCACATGCGGCTCGCCGCTCCCACGCCTAGAACTCGCGATGCACTCCTACACACATTAAAAAAAGCATATTTATGGATTCATTCGCGGAAAACTTATGCACATATTTAAACACCTATAATTGTTTTACTCTTTTCAACTTAGTGAGAGCGACATACGGACACAAAGTACTATGTCCATCTTATCTATGTTTCCTGAACCTAGTGTCCTGGTTGGTCACTTGTTCCATAGCATACTTCTTTATTTACAATGCCCGAGCACTATGAATAATGATAAGTCAAATCGGACCACGTAATTAATACTAATTTAAACTTCATTTAACACATTGCCCGCTCATAAAAGCTAATGTAACCTATATTTTTATCAGTCTGCCCAATAAGTAACGGACTTTATTCATAAAGCCCGGTTATGTTAATTATTTCAATAGGTTTTTTAACATATTACTTACACATAGTGACATTTTTGAAACTGTCTGGGCATTATGAATAATGCCCTCTTAATCACTTTGGTCCATATACACTTCTCACAGTTCTTTGACCTGGAAAATGTCTTACATATTCACTAGTTCCAAGCGTTCTGATTAGATTAGTGGTTACTTTATAAGAAAATAATTATTTTTCCCTTTCACTAGCTCTGGTTTAAAGTGAGTAATTGTAATGTGATTAAAGTCAAACCGCCTATTGCTCATTGAGCTAACCGCAAATAAGCATGTACAAGTACTTTACGTACTAGATTCAGCTCAGCAAGCCAGTTTTATTTATTACAAGCCTAGATGTTATTCAAAGATTTATGCTTGAATGCATAAGAGAAGAGATGTAATGTCTGACTGATGATTGGGTTATTAGTGCGAAGATATTGGTTACACGCTCATTTATTAAAGGACCATCAATAGAGATTGCAATAATTTTTCTAACTAGGTAGTTTAGTTTTTGTTACATTTTCATTGCGATTATAATAAGCTAGATAGCAAAACACAACATTAAAGCTATGTTATTGACTTCTTACGCAACACGCACTTATTTTACAATGTTTTTTCTCTTTAAAAAGTTATGTTAGGATTTATGCCTGCATCGCGGGGGCAGGGGACTTTAAGGACAAATATCCAGGCCATACAAATACTTGTTCCGTGCAAGATTCGAACCCGCGGCCCTTGGCGCTGCAACTCATTGCCAAACTACTGTGCCACGGAACCGTCAATTGACTTCAAATTTGTCATCGGATCTAGTTGAGGTTTTAACTTTTAATGGTACCTCAGAATATTATAAGTACTCGTAGTAGTATAGTATACCTATTCCTTTAAAAATTTGCAAAACCTCCAGAAGAAAGAAAGAAACAAAAATATGTTTATTTAGTAACACATTATGGCAATTTGCTAACAATAATAACATATTAATTTGGTAAATGGTTACTAAAAAGATACCCAACTGTACCCAGCTCAGCATAGTCTTGGTACATACACGCACATATTTAAACCATTACACATACATATACTCTAGAAATGTTACGTGCAGCTCGGCTTGACTGAGGAAAGATGACGCTCTCACAAAATACCAGCATAAAATAGCAGCTTAATGCTGCTGTGTTTCTTATGGTGTATGTAGAGAACCGGAGACCCTTTTTATTGGAAATTATTGCATTTTAATTTTTAATTGAGAATAGATGTAGATGTTTATGGGCCACAGCATCCACTTACCAGGCGCGTACCACTTACCAGGTGGACTGTGTGCTACTGTGTCAGCCATATTCAAGAAAAATAAATTGCGTTACAATCACTAAAAAATATGTTAGAGCCGAGTACTTTCTCCCCATATGTATTCTAAACTACTTAATTGAATTAACGATGGACATCCGCGATCGCTTTGATGTGTTTAACATAAACCTTATAGTGTAATGTTGTAAATTGAATTGTTGTTGAATGGCCTCTTCCGCTTCGTGTGTGGCGTCGCGTCGCGTCGCCTCCCGCGCTATTATCAGCGGCTTATCGCACCTTCATACGGGCCCTCGCCCGGCGTATGCACTTTATGATGTGATTAACAATCCGCACCGACTTTGCCTGGATAGAATGTATTCCCGTTACCCTCCACTGCTGAACATAGGTCTCCCCCATATATTGCCTCATGGAGGGGATATTTGCCATAGTTGCCACGCTTGGCAAGCGGCTTAGCAGCCGTAGTAATTTTTTATTTTTAGTTGTTATTAGGAAGACGCTGCTACCTATCTCTGTCGCCTCTTACGACACCCACGGGATGATGCGTATGTTGTATTGGTTGCTCTTAGACCCATGGAATATAAGAAAACTTACACCACCACTGCACTAATGTAGCGTTATTAAGATTTGAAATAGTCCAAGACAATTTAAGTTATGAATTTTTCATATTTTCAAAAAAAATCTAAGTTTTTCGAATAAAATATAGCGTAGATTTCCTGGCATTCCTGGCATTGCTATGTATCTCTTGGTAAAGTTTCATCACAATCAGCTTCAGCTGTTCCGAGGATTAGTCCGCGCAAATGGACAGACAAATAATTTAAAAATGGTTATTTATATCATAAATATAACCCCTTGAGCTTAAAAGAAGCCAGGTATAACAGTAATACAAACAAACACTTCAATTTTATTTATATTATGTAATATGTATAGATAACTTCACACATCATGACTATGAAGTTTTTAATAGATGTCAACCACTGTTTTAAATTAACAATACTTTCCATATGAGGACATATTATTACCACTATCTAGCTAAACGCTTGCGCTACCGAACTTTCATGGGGAATGATTACAACTGGATTAGTTTATTGTTTTTTTTTTTATAAAAATTAATTCCCACACTTATTCCGTGCGGGATTAGAACCCGCGACCCTCAGCGTCGCAACTCAATGCTAAGCCACTGCGCCACGGAGCCATCAATTACATTAAATAAAAAAAAACTTTATTGCGCATATAAACGCTGTGCCCAAAGTTTGCGTACTTTACTTTTTTGGCGGGAACTTAACCGCATTCAGATCGCTGCTTGTGTACTGTTATATCTGTATTATCGTTGAAATAATGAAATATTAGTATAGCATAGTAAGTAGTTTGATACGTTTTATGTATGTGTCGAGCGATTGAAATAATAATGTCTAAATAATATGTGAACAATTTGAAACGGTGAAACAAATGCTCTGATGATTATGAAAACCTCTAGATATTTACCATCGTTACACGTAGACTCTTGCGTTGCGGACGTTAAAATTTTTGCAAAAATTTTACATGTGTTTGGAAATGTTATTTTTGGCTGAATGCCTTAAAAAAGCCCACAATAAATAAATAAAAACATATGTAAAACTAAGTAGCTCACACAAAGCTAACAAAATACCAGAACATCAAAGCACCTCACAAAGGCGTTAGACTGTGTTCGCAGACTTTGAATGGGCGTCGGATAATATGACGGCCATTGAGCCTGGTTGAATGGAACGCGTTATATGCGCGCGCATTTCGCCGCCGCCCCGTATCCCGTTCGAACCTCTAGACTTGAACTAAAATTATGTTTTGCATCGTTCCTTTAAATTTAAACGATACCATAATATAACTCGTGGTCGGTGCGTTATGCGCAGGACTGAAAAGGATAACGAATAATTTAATAATTTACTATACATAATAATTTAAATAAATTATGTATAGTATAATTTAATTAACGACGAACGAAAAATGCAGTGCCGCTTATTAATTAACATTAGTCGCATACGAGGGTAGAGTATAATTTAACTTTAATGTCTTATTGAGATTAATAATTAAAATTAAAAAAAAACTCACATCAAGAACAAACCTTAAAATAATTTCTAAAGTCGGTGCACATAGCACACAACGACTTTGACGATTTTCTCATTTTATTTATATTAAGTTGGTTGTAAAAAAAAAATTTACCCTTCGTTAAAGTTTATTTACTTTATCCTTTTGAAGGGACTAATGGAATTCATAAGTTTAGGGTAACAACTAGAATATCCTCTAAATAGTTTTTTAATGGTAATAAGAAATTATTCTTTATAAAAATTTGCTTAAAAACTTCTTCACAATATGTTTTAGCGTCATATTGCGTAATTTTTGGAAGATTTAACACTGCAGCTTGCGCCAATAGGCAGTCAATGACAACAGTATCTCCAGGCAGGCACCTAAGCAAACACATTATCTTGAGCTTCACATCACCAATCACCATCGAAGCACTTGTTTCATCGTTTCCACTAATAGTTCACATGCGCAGACATTTAATACGAACAATCGCACCATATTTACATATCAAAATCTACTTCATACCATTATTTATACAATAAAACAAGTGAAGCAATGCGCCGGGTTTAAGTTCCCGCCACTAATTTTATTGATACAACATTATTAGATTCTTTCTGACGACAGTTTTCCGCAGGGTTCCTTGTCAGGTCCAGTTTTATTTCTTATAAATATACTAATAAATCGCATCTATTATATGCAGGTGAAATGTGATTTCATTTTTTCTTAATGAAACATAATATTACAAAATTTATACTAAATTATGTCAAAATTTTGAAAAAAACTGTGAGGACAGTAAGTTCAGTAAGTGATGTGTGGTTGCAGTTGAAGGTGGGCGGCGGCGTGCGGTCGTGGCGCGCGGTGGGCGCGGCGCACGGCGGCGAGCTGTCCGTCTTCTGCTGGTGATCGCCGCGCGCTCGCCGCAGTACGTACACACGCACACACATGCACACACACACGCACACGCGCGCGAGCTGTCCGTCTTCTGCTGGTGATCGCCGCGCGCTCGCCGCAGTACGTACACACGCACACACATGCACACACACACGCACACGCGCGCGAGCTGTCCGTCTTCTGCTGGTGATCGCCGCGCGCTCGCCGCAGTACGTACACACGCACACACATGCACACACACACGCACACGCGCGCGAGCTGTCCGTCTTCTGCTGGTGATCGCCGCGCGCTCGCCGTAGTACGTACACACGCACACACATGCACACACACACGCACACGCGCGCGAGCTGTCCGTCTTCTGCTGGTGATCGCCGCGCGCTCGCCGCAGTACGTACACACGCACGCACACATGCACACACATGCACACACACACGCACACGCGCGCGAGCTGTCCGTCTTCTGCTGGTGATCGCCGCGCGCTCGCCGCAGTACGTACACACGCACGCACACATGCACACACATGCACACACACACGCACACGCGCGCGAGCTGTCCGTCTTCTGCTGGTGATCGCCGCGCGCTCGCCGCAGTACGTACACACGCACGCACACATGCACACACACACGCACACGCGCGCGAGCTGTCCGTCTTCTGCTGGTGATCGCCGCGCGCTCGCCGCAGTACGTACACACGCACGCACACATGCACACACACACGCACACGCGCGCGAGCTGTCCGTCTTCTGCTGGTGATCGCCGCGCGCTCGCCGCAGTACGTACACACGCACGCACACATGCACACACACACGCACACGCGCGCGAGCTGTCCGTCTTCTGCTGGTGATCGCCGCGCGCTCGCCGCAGTACGTACACACGCACGCACACATGCACACACATGCACACACACACGCACACGCGCGCGAGCTGTCCGTCTTCTGCTGGTGATCGCCGCGCGCTCGCCGCAGTACGTACACACGCACGCACACATGCACACACACACGCACACGCGCGCGAGCTGTCCGTCTTCTGCTGGTGATCGCCGCGCGCTCGCCGCAGTACGTACACACGCACACACATGCACACACACACGCACACGCGCGCGAGCTGTCCGTCTTCTGCTGGTGATCGCCGCGCGCTCGCCGCAGTACGTACACACGCACGCACACATGCACACACATGCACACACACACGCACACGCGCGCGAGCTGTCCGTCTTCTGCTGGTGATCGCCGCGCGCTCGCCGCAGTACGTACACACGCACGCACACATGCACACACATGCACACACACACGCACACGCGCGCGAGCTGTCCGTCTTCTGCTGGTGATCGCCGCACGCTCGCCGCAGTACGTACACACGCACGCACACATGCACACACACACGCACACGCGCGCGAGCTGTCCGTCTTCTGCTGGTGATCGCCGCGCGCTCGCCGCAGTACGTACACACGCACGCACACATGCACACACACACGCACACGCGCGCGAGCTGTCCGTCTTCTGCTGGTGATCGCCGCGCGCTCGCCGCAGTACGTACACACGCACGCACACATGCACACACACACGCACACGCACACGCGCGCGAGCTGTCCGTCTTCTGCTGGTGATCGCCGCGCGCTCGCCGCAGTACGTACACACGCACGCACACATGCACACACATGCACACACACACGCACACGCGCGCGAGCTGTCCGTCTTCTGCTGGTGATCGCCGCGCGCTCGCCGCAGTACGTACACACGCACGCACACATGCACACACACACGCACACGCGCGCGAGCTGTCCGTCTTCTGCTGGTGATCGCCGCGCGCTCGCCGCAGTACGTACACACGCACGCACACATGCACACACATGCACACACACGCACACGCGCGCGAGATGTCCGTCTTCTGCTGGTGATCGCCGCGCGCTCGCCGCAGTACGTACACACGCACGCACACATGCACACACATGCACACACACACGCACACGCGCGCGAGCTGTCCGTCTTCTGCTGGTGATCGCCGCGCGCTCGCCGCAGTACGTACACACGCACGCACACATGCACACACATGCACACACACACGCACACGCGCGCGAGCTGTCCGTCTTCTGCTGGTGATCGCCGCACGCTCGCCGCAGTACGTACACACGCACGCACACATGCACACACACACGCACACGCGCGCGAGCTGTCCGTCTTCTGCTGGTGATCGCCGCGCGCTCGCCGCAGTACGTACACACGCACGCACACATGCACACACATGCACACACACACGCACACGCGCGCGAGCTGTCCGTCTTCTGCTGGTGATCGCCGCGCGCTCGCCGCAGTACGTACACACGCACGCACACATGCACACACACACGCACACGCGCGCGAGCTGTCCGTCTTCTGCTGGTGATCGCCGCGCGCTCGCCGCAGTACGTACACACGCACGCACACATGCACACACATGCACACACACACGCACACGCGCGCGAGCTGTCCGTCTTCTGCTGGTGATCGCCGCGCGCTCGCCGCAGTACGTACACACGCACGCACACATGCACACACATGCACACACACACGCACACGCGCGCGAGCTGTCCGTCTTCTGCTGGTGATCGCCGCGCGCTCGCCGCAGTACGTACACACGCACGCACACATGCACACACATGCACACACACACGCACACGCGCGCGAGCTGTCCGTCTTCTGCTGGTGATCGCCGCGCGCTCGCCGCAGTACGTACACACGCACGCACACATGCACACACATGCACACACACACGCACACGCGCGCGAGCTGTCCGTCTTTTGCTGGTGATCGCCGCGCGCTCGCCGCAGTACGTACACACGCACGCACACATGCACACACACACGCACACGCGCGCGAGCTGTCCGTCTTCTGCTGGTGATCGCCGCGCGCTCGCCGCAGTACGTACACACGCACGCACACATGCACACATATGCACACACACACGCACACGCGCGCGAGCTGTCCGTCTTCTGCTGGTGATCGCCGCGCGCTCGCCGCAGTACGTACACACGCACGCACACATGCACACACATGCACACACACACGCACACGCGCGCGAGCTGTCCGTCTTCTGCTGGTGATCGCCGCGCGCTCGCCGCAGTACGTACACACGCACGCACACATGCACACACATGCACACACACACGCACACGCGCGCGAGCTGTCCGTCTTCTGCTGGTGATCGCCGCGCGCTCGCCGCAATACGTACACACGCACGCACACATGCACACACATGCACACACACACGCACACGCGCGCGAGCTGTCCGTCTTCTGCTGGTGATCGCCGCGCGCTCGCCGCAGTACGTACACACGCACGCACACATGCACACACACACGCACACGCGCGCGAGCTGTCCGTCTTCTGCTGGTGATCGCCGCGCGCTCGCCGCAGTACGTACACACGCACGCACACATGCACACACATGCACACACACACGCACACGCGCGCGAGCTGTCCGTCTTCTGCTGGTGATCGCCGCGCGCTCGCCGCCCTACGTACACACGCACGCACACATGCACACACATGCACACACACACGCACACGCGCGCGAGCTGTCCGTCTTTTGCTGGTGATCGCCGCGCGCTCGCCGCAGTACGTACACACGCACGCACACATGCACACACATGCACACACACACGCACACGCGCGCGAGCTGTCCGTCTTCTGTTGGTGATCGCCGCGCGCTCGCCGCAGTACGTACACACGCACGCACACATGCACACACATGCACACACACACGCACACGCGCGCGAGCTGTCCGTCTTCTGCTGGTGATCGCCGCGCGCTCGCCGCCCTACGTACACACGCACGCACACATGCACACACATGCACACACACACGCACACGCGCGCGAGCTTTCCGTCTTCTGCTGGTGATCGCCGCGCGCTCGCCGCCCTACGTACACACGCACGCACACATGCACACACATGCACACACACACGCACACGCGCGCGAGCTGTCCGTCTTCTGCTGGTGATCGCCGCGCGCTCGCCGCAGTACGTACACACGCACGCACACATGCACACACATGCACACACACACGCACACGCGCGCGAGCTGTCCGTCTTCTGCTGGTGATCGCCGCGCGCTCGCCGCAGTACGTACACACGCACGCACACATGCACACACATGCACACACACACGCACACGCGCGCGAGCTGTCCGTCTTCTGCTGGTGATCGCCGCGCGCTCGCCGCAGTACGTACACACGCACGCACACATGCACACACATGCACACACACACGCACACGCGCGCGAGCTGTCCGTCTTCTGCTGGTGATCGCCGCGCGCTCGCCGCAGTACGTACACACGCACGCACACATGCACACACATGCACACACACACGCACACGCGCGCGAGCTGTCCGTCTTCTGCTGGTGATCGCCGCGCGCTCGCCGCAGTACGTACACACGCACGCACACATGCACACACATGCACACACACACGCACACGCGCGCGAGCTGTCCGTCTTTTGCTGGTGATCGCCGCGCGCTCGCCGCAGTACGTACACACGCACGCACACATGCACACACACACGCACACGCGCGCGAGCTGTCCGTCTTCTGCTGGTGATCGCCGCGCGCTCGCCGCAGTACGTACACACGCACGCACACATGCACACATATGCACACACACACGCACACGCGCGCGAGCTGTCCGTCTTCTGCTGGTGATCGCCGCGCGCTCGCCGCAGTACGTACACACGCACGCACACATGCACACACATGCACACACACACGCACACGCGCGCGAGCTGTCCGTCTTCTGCTGGTGATCGCCGCGCGCTCGCCGCAGTACGTACACACGCACGCACACATGCACACACATGCACACACACACGCACACGCGCGCGAGCTGTCCGTCTTCTGCTGGTGATCGCCGCGCGCTCGCCGCAGTACGTACACACGCACGCACACATGCACACACATGCACACACACACGCACACGCGCGCGAGCTGTCCGTCTTCTGCTGGTGATCGCCGCGCGCTCGCCGCAGTACGTACACACGCAC